GATGAGAGTAGACATTTGTTATGAGACTGAGTATCGAGACTGGAATGATGGCTTCCTGTGGTGAGTAATGGTAAATTAGGCGTGCTGTCCTTCTTCCTTCCTAGTAAACTCTGCATTCTTCAGAGCCCAAAATGTGTTACCACTTTTGTGAAGCTTTCCCCATCTCCCTCAGACAGGGTTCTGTTTGGGCTCCTGAAACCTTTTATATGTGTGTCAGTACTATGCCATGTAAACTGTCATATTCTACATTTTTCTTCATAGGTCTCCCCTTCTTCTCCCGATCATCTCCATTTCTTTGAAGTAAGGAACACATCCTTGTATTTCAAGGACTTAATGCAGTATCAGTTACTTAGTGAATATTGAGCTTACTTGTTTGTTAAATGAACAGCCAAGATTCTCAGTTGGTTCAGATTTAAAGCTCCTTTATAACTAGGTTTAGAATATATGGAGCAGAAAATCTGTTTAGGAGAATTTAATTGGTAGTGAAGTACAGATTGGAATTGGGAAAGCTGACTTCAGTGTGACTAGGTAAAAGAAGTTACAGTGATCTAGGCAGGAGGTGATTAGGGCCTGATAGAAGTGGTGGTGAGGGAAAAGGCACAAATCTAAGAAATAGTGTGAAGTAACAGTCAGCAGACCTGACGACATTTGTAGGGAGTTTAGGGGATATGGGGAAGAGTCAAAAAAGATTTCAAATTATGTGACCCTTCCCCTTCTTTCCAGTTTTTCTTATAATTTATTAGGTGATTGTGAGTCTTGGTTGACTTGGTAGTTCCATAACAAATTAATCAGTCATATAGTGTAGGTCTCTGAACTGCTGGACCATGAGCAGTGCAATAGAAAAGCAGATAAATTCAAGGCACGCCCCACTTGGCAGATTTTAACTCTTTCTGGAGCAGAAAAAATATTTTAGATATATACATAGCTCTCCAAGAGTGTATATATTCTGGAGCCAAGTTTAATTCATCATCCTGCCTAAGGATTTTAATTTGCTGTTGAAGTAAGCCAAGTAACTCTTGGGGAAGCAAAGACTCATAGGATTGTAGTACTTTCTGTTGTTACTCTTGCAGTTTTGAAGACAAATAGGTGATGGTCCAGGAGTCCCATGCTCAGACTTCACCTGTAGGCCCCCACACTGCTCTTAGCAGTTGTACTAATAGAGGAAAAACACAATTTCTAAAATCAGAGCCTGCAAATACCAACCTGAGCGTTAAAAATAAGTATTAACATTAAGTTTTAAAAATTCTGTATATGTACTTACAGAAGAATACAGAAAGCAATCATCCTTGTGTAACTAAACATTCAGATCAAGAAAATAGAATATTATTCCTCTCCAAAGGTTAACCGCTATTCTGATTATAACACCATGGATTCATTTTGCTTATTTTTAAAAGGTTAGTGTAAAATGAATAGTGAAGAATGCGTTTTGGCTTCTTTCACTCAACATTGTTAGATTGATGCATGTTGTTGTATGAAGTAATATTCGTTCATTCTTCTTGTCTTACGTTATCTTCCTGATGAATAAACCACAGCTTATTCCACTGGTGATGAACACTTGGGTTCTTTTGACTTTTTGGGTGTTATGAGTAATGGTGCTGTAAACATTTGTGTACATTTTTGGGGGTATACATATACAAATGTCTGTATTGTCAAGGAGTAGAATTACAGAGTCATAAAATATGCATATGTTCATTTTCCAGAACGGTTATACCAGTTTATACTTTCACTAGCAGCAGTGTGTGTGTGTCCCAGTTGCTCAGTATCCTCACAACACTTGTTACTGTCTTAAATTTTAGCCATTCTGATAGGTTTGTAGCGCTATCTTGTGGGGGTTGTTTTGTTTTGTTTTTAATTTAGATTTCTGTGCTGACTGATGAAATTGAGCACTTGTTTTATGTATAGGCTTTTTGAATATCCTCTTTTATAACTATTTGTCTATCAAAAAATTGAGTCATTTATCTTTTCCTCATTGATTTGTAGAAGTTATTTTATACTCTGATATGAGTTCTGTGTTATCTATATTGGAGATATCTTTTCCCATTTTGTGGCTTTCTTTTACACTCTCTTCATTGTGCCATCTGATGAATATTCTGACTTATCAATCTTTTCCTTTATGATTAGTGTTTCCAAGAACTTTTTCCCTACCCTAGGGTCACGAGGATGTTCTGTATTATCTTCCAGAAGCCTTACTATTTTACCTCTCACATTTTATATCTACCATCTAACTGAAATTTTTTTGTGTGAATATGCTTCGCTTGGTTTTAAGCTGACCTTACCTTTCCTTAGTTTAGCAAGATCTGGGTCTTAAATCCCAAGTACAAGCTAAGAAGCAATCACATGTGTCTGAATCCTTACTGTTCTTCATAAATTAGTCAATACAGTGCTTGAATAGCTTTTAGGAATTGAAACCTTCTCTTCCTACCATACCATGGCATTTGGTTTTTGTTTCATGCCTTTGTGCTTTTATTATTTGAAGGTGTAGTCTGTGTGGAATATTACCATGTATTACTTGCCACTAATTTCTTAACCCACTGCAATCTGCTTCAGTACCTGCTTAAAACAGTGGTAAAGAGCCTAGTGGCCTTCTTGCCAAATGGCGGTAACTCTCAAGTGATACTATCCTTCAACCATTTGCAGGTCTTGAATGTATCCTTTGTCTTTATATCTCTGTTCTCATTGTATGACCTTGGCAAAGTCTCAGCCTCCTTTTCTTCTGAAACTTACTTAGTTTTGTTTTGAAATCCAGTTGGAAAAGCCCCGTTAGATATGACTGGGACAAAGCCCTTATGCCTGAGGGCACAAATCTCCAGTTTCAAGGTAGGCCTAACCACTTTTGTTGTTTTGCTTTTGTCTGTTTTCATTTGGTATCTGAGACCAAACAAAAATGATAGAGCCATAACTATGAATTAGATAACTCCTTGGAGTTTACATAGCAACTTTACGTGGAACACTTCATTTGATCCTCTTAACACCCTGTGAGGTAGGCGTTTGTACTGTAGTTAGAGAAGTGATTGAAAATGCAAACAGCACATTATTTGTTCTTGTTGAGAAACACCTGGTGATGCCATGGGATTATTAGGTTTTGGAGTTTCCTTTTTCATATAGCCATCATTTGATGAGAGCATCATCCCTGTGATTTTTTTGGGGTACTTTTGTCTTTCCACTTCCTGTGAGAATGTTAGCTTCTTGGGTTGGGGCGGGGAGGGTGGGGTTGATGGGACTGGGAATGGAGGTAGAGTTGGAATCTTTGGGGAGTCAGCAACTTGAGTCAGCAGCCTTTGATGTGTGGCCGTATATATTGCAATACTTTCTGTTGTCACCCTTGCAGCAAACTTTTTAAAAATAGCAAACCTTTTTTTTTTGGATGAAATGGTACACCAAGTTGATTTATGAAACAGACCAAAGCATTCTTTTATTTATATTAATTCATTTTAGGAATCTGAATTTATAGCACTTAGAAAGTCTGTCAGTGAGAACAGTGAGGCTGTTTTGATCAACACAAAAACTTGAAACAGGTTAAAAAGGATGCAGTCCTATTTTTGTCCCACATCCCAGTTATTTCTGCATTTGAAAAACTGCAGTTTGTAATAAAACAGCTTAGCTTACAATTCAGAGGTATTTTTTAGTTGAATGATATATTGGTGTGACAAAGGACTGATATTTAGCATAAAATTCAGACAAGGCAGTCCCTCAGACTCACAAGTGCTTGGACAATAATTCATCCCTCAACATGTCAGAAGTTTGCTATCATTGCACAGCCGTCATGATGACTGCAGCATGGGAGGGACAGCTGTGCCTGGCATTGCTTGAACGTGGCCCCCGTGTGCTGTGTAGTGTGCTTACGTGTGCTCGTTGATGTAGATGGGCTGATACAAGCCTGATTCAGCCTCTATAATTAGTACCAGTCCTAAGAAGTGCTGGTTTATCCACAGAGATGGTCCAATTTCCTTAGTGTCCTCAGCAGCCAATTACCAAATGGAGGCCCCTGTAATATTACAGTTTGATATGTGACACATTTGAGTATGGACTTGTTTTAAAACACAGTTTTTATAGTTAGCTTCCATTCTGGGGTCAGTGGAGTGAATATGCGCAAGATGGGTGGGAAGAAGGAAATGAAGAGACAATTGAGAAATCAGAACTGTGGCTGGCTCTTGATTATCTCTGGGCACATTAATGCCTGTGAGGATTCAGAAATGGTTTGGGGATGCTCACCTTTTTTGCAGGCTAGTTGTGTGAAGGAGTGGTGACTTAAGTTCATTGCTGTACCTGATGTCGCCTACTTCAGTGAGAGAAGAGGAAGTGGATTTGGGGGTCCACATGGTAGAGGGAGAGGATGAGCCTTGGGAAGGTCGAGGGCCCCTCTCCTCTCATTGTCCACCTGAGTGGTTCTGTGGAGAGTCTGTATGTCTGTGGGCCAGTGGTTGGGAGGCACTGTCTAATTTTGAGTCCTTGCTTGGCTTGGCTCTTAGTTGCACCTTAATCTCTGTTGGCTGTTCATGTGAGATGAGAGTTGAGTGGATGTTGGCTTTTGAAATCCCTTCAGAAAACCCCAAGAATCCATGCAGCAGTTTGACTGCAACTGCTCTGAATCAAATATGGCTAATTATTCAGACACTGGGCAAATATTCTGTTGATGGATAGTCTATAAAGCACCCTCACCTCCCTGAATCTCTTCACTCTATTCAGCCAGGGCCAGGGGCTGTTAATTTGCTTTCAATATGTTTCTAGAATTACATTTTAAGTAATTTGCTCCTTTTTCCTTAGCATAAATCATTGAAAATCAATTGAATTTATAGAGTATACTAAAACTGTGTTTTGAGCCAGCCAGGAAATTCCCTGCAATTTTTCTGGCTAATCTCATGTATTTGAAGAATGTTGAACCAAGGTATTTTTGAGGAAGTAAATTACTATGGCTGTTGAATGTGACCTAGAAGGAACTGAGGAACAGTAGAACTGAAAATACAGTTACTAATTTTTTTTGCTTCCAATTCCTTTGTTAGGCATCTGAAGAAGCCTCTCTCAGGGCATTGGAAAGTCTGATGACAGAGTTTTTCCATGACTGTACAACCAACGAAAGAAAACGGGAGATAGGTAAGTCAAGTGTTGAGTTGTAAGGAGTCACCTATAATGAAAGGGCCCTAGTGGGGAGGAAGGAGTTGGTAGCCTTGACTGGTCAAGCCTGCAATTTTCACCTTGAATTCTTGCTCTTTTTGCTCCGGTCCTGCTGGTTGTTGGCTGTGAGGTCCACAAACCTCTCTGCAAGGGTGATGGTCCACGGAGCCCACTATAATCCATAGTGATGAATTTTCTTTCCTTTGGCCACGTGTGGAAAACAGTCCCCTGTCTCTCGGCTTTGCTCTTAATTTCAGCAATGTTGAGCTTTTATTAGAAGTCTGTGATAATTAAAAAAAGAAAAACCCTCATGAAAGTGTCAAAACAAACGTTTTTGGTGTGTAGAAGTGTAACCTGCACCTCATCTAGTGCCCAGAGATCCTTTAATGGGTATTACCTTTGGGGCTTATTGCTTTTTCCTTATTGCCACTGTTATTGCTCTCATTCTGTAAGTTTTGATGAACAAAGGCTTCAAACAACAGAGAGATGTAGGTATGATAACTTTAGGTCTTCTGGGAACCTCAGCACTTTGTAGAATCTTTTTTTCAATTTTATAGTCACTGATAATGCACGACATTCATTAAAACATACTGTAAACTAGAAAGTGTATTCAAGTGTCAAATCTCTGCCTCAGGGACGTGCTGCACTGAGGTCCTGGAGTAGGCTTTTTATTCTGAGTCCTCATTTAACCCCTGAACTTGAAAATGAAAAATATTTTTCTTGATCCAAACCTGCAGGCTTTTCCCTGCATGTCTGACTGCTCTGTACAACCTTCATTGTTTTCACCTCTTTGGAGACCTTTTTCTGTGTCTCCAGGACTCTGCAGACCCATTTCTCTCCACGTGGCTTCTTTAAGTCGTATTATCCAGCTAAGTGTTATGGCTAAGTTCTGCCCTTGGTCGGAAGCTTGATTAGGGTTTGGATTTTCAGGTGGCCAGTAAACCTTTGGCTGCAGCCCATTTTCCCTTTCATCCTTTGAGCATCACATCAGCTCCTGGTAGATGCTAACTTCTTACCTCTTTTAATTTTAAATGTGGTGGTCTCTTTTGGGCCTGCCCTGTATATATTCTTTTTTTTTTCTTTTTCTGAGACTGTGCTGTAGGGAACTGGAGCATTGATAAACAAGGGATACTGACAGAAGCTGAGCCCAGTAGATGATCAGGCACCTGGCTTAGAAGATCCACTCTGCTTGCTTCTCTAGGTTTTCTCCTATTACTCAGTTGGGCTAACCCTCCTCCTGCCCCAGTGATCCCCTTGTTAGTTTTATGCTACTGGTTACCTTTTACTTACAGTAAAAATGTCACTGGTGCTTTCTACCAAAAGAGGCGAAGGATCTTTGCCTTACGTTAGTCTGTTACATTCCAACACTAATTTCTCTGAAGTCCTATTTTTAGCTTATAATTGATATGCTTTTGGTTTTTCTCTTAAATTTTGGTTTACAAAGCAGATATTGCTTACGTTCAGCATTCATGAATTAAAAGCGGAACCTTTTTAACATGTTCCTATTTTAATCTGATTTTAAAACAGTTTTAAAGTACAAATATCTATTTAAATGCTGACTAAGGGCAATCTGGGGGTTTGATAGTGGGCGTGCCTTAGTTCAGTTCTCTTTGTACCTAGTCTTCATAGCTTTGAATGTGTAGGCTGAAACTGCTGCTTGCTTCTTTTTTCATGTCTTAGGATAAACTAAAGGCTTTCCTAGCTAGGTAGGAGAAAGGAGGGAGATCTTTAATTGTAGGGGCTCCACCCACCCTCCACCAAAAGTGTGTTTTTAGTGCTCTAGAGATAGAGCTGTTAGGGAACCTCAAGAACAGTCTGATCATTTTAACGGTGGAGATGGGTGAAGCATCAAAGAGGAACAGTGATTTGCTTGGGCGCAGACTCAGTGATTAGTGGTAAAGTCTAGGACAGAGTCCAGAGTTCTTTATTTCCAGCCAGAGATCATTCTCTCTGGTTGGACTTCACCTCTGGGATTCATAGGAACTTTTGCCTACTTAAAAGAACACGCCATCAGTTTCCTTTTATGGAATTTGTAATGAGACTGTCTTGGTGCATTTAGCCTAAGTTGTAGGATGCTGGGAGAGCAGTAACTTTAGGATTAGAATGGCCTGCTGTGCTTGCTGCTTTCCCAAGGGCTTCCTGTAATTTCTCAGGATTGTTGCCTTTGTGTTTTTACCCTCTTTGTGTTATATTTCGTGACCAGCGCAGTGGGTCAGGGTGACTAAGGGGCAGCATGTCCAGAAACATGGTGACAGACTCTTCATGCTTGCTGTCTGTGGGTCTGGCTGATACTACCAGCAGCCCCGGGATGACGAAAACCATTTCTAACTGATTTGAGGTAGACAGGGCAATCCCATGATTGCTACTCTTCTTTTTCACAGACTTTTTTGGGTGATATTTTTTAAGAAAACCAACCCAAATGAGGAGAGTTAGCCATTTTGTATTCTCTTACATTTTTTTCCAATCCTGTGTTTATAAAGTTAGTTTTAATTTTTTCTTTCCCTACTTTTCTAGCCATCATCTTGTGTATATGTGAGTGAGAACAGTGTTGAGTGGTGAGGAGATATATATATATATATAGTTGTACCCCAGAGGAAACAAGTTACCAATTAGCCATCATTTGTAAGGTAAAGTGGTACTCTTACAACTATCTATCCACACATTAGGTTAAGTAAGAACTTCAACAGTGAAGGTTTCTCTGCCTGAAAAAGTGTCCATAGCAAGGTTATTGGTTTTTAGATGGCTGAATACACTGTCAGTGTTCATGGCTACCTCAGAGTCAGAAAAATATTGTATGCTCTGTCCTTTGGATCTTGAAGAATTAGCTGAATTTTGTGATTAGTTTTGATGTAATTTATATTATATCAAGAGAGGTGTGTTTACTATTTTATTAATTTCGTGTATTTTCATAGCCTTCTCTTGTTGCTATTTAACTTTTCCAGAGGAGCTTCTTAATAACTTTGCCCAGCAAATAGGAGCTTGGAGATTCTGCCTGTATTTTCTCTCCAGCACTCGGAATGACTATGTAATGATGTACAGTTTAACAGTTTTTGAGGTAAGTTGTCAGAAAATTTTATACTATTCTGAAGAGTATTTTGTAAGGGGGTGGGAAGGGATTAATTGGGAGTTCAGGATTTGCAGATCCTAACTAATATATATAAAATAAACAAGTTCATACTGTATAGCACAGGGAACTATATTCAATGTCTTATAAGTGATGGTGAAAAAGAATATGAAAACATATATATGTATGTTCATGTATGACTGAAACATTATGCTGTATGTCAGAAATTGACACAACATTGTAAACTGATTATACTTCAATAAAAATATATATATTAAAAAAAAAAGTATTTTGTAGTCACATTGCCATGTCATTGGACTTTACTTTTGATGTGTACCTGGCTCGGAAATAGTAGCTCAGCTCAGAAACTTCTTCCCACATATCGCCTTTGTCAGGATGTCTGGGTTTCCAGGGCACCTATCTTCAATACCAAAAGATAAGATGGAGTTAGGTCATTTGTGGCAACATATAACTTCTTCCATGTTATCATTTAAAAGAGAGAGATAATTAAAGAAAAACAGTTTGGAAGGGGGGATGATACCCATTATGCCATCATCCCAACTCCAAAAAATTTTCATTTGTATCAACTCTCTTCTAATCTTTGTCTTCCCATGCACACTTAAAAAAAACCTAATTATAATCATATTGCTTATGCTGTTTTGCATTCTGCTTTTTTCCCCACTTACCTTTATGTTACAATCCTGTACGTGGTTGTACTGTTATTCACCAAGCCGTTCTCCTATTTTTGGATGTTGAAGTTGTTTTTGTCATTATTTTTTGGTAGAGACAATGGTGTAATAGAAAGTTTTTGCACCTATACCTTTTTGTTTCTGTTAAATTATGTAGCTCATCTTTTTAGGAATGGGATTGCTGTATCGTAAGATTTGAATATTTTATTACTCTTATTGCCAAATTGCTGCAAACTTTTATTTAAAAGCAGAGTATATCGATTGAGGGATATAGCTAATATTGGATGAAAACCAGTGTGTTTTGTGTATAGATTATTAACTTAAAAGGTGTATACTTGTTTTTCAGAATCTGATCAATAAAATGTGGCTTGGGGTCCCATCTCAGGATAAGATGGAAATCCGTAGCTGCCTGCCCAAACTCCTCTTGGCTCACCACAAAACCTTACCTTACTTCATCCGGAACAAGCTCTGCAAAGTGATTGTTGACATAGGCCGTCAGGATTGGCCCATGTTCTACCATGACTTTTTTACTAACATTTTACAGGTAAGGAGATACCTGTGGAAACCTTGTAAATTGTTTTTAAAAGTGATTATTTTCTTGTCTTGAAGAGGAGTTTTAAGATTAGCATTTTGCAACTGCAGTAGTGAGGTCATTGTGGGATAGATTATCTTATTCACTTAACTTTGTGTTCTTGAGACATGTTGTACCTTTGTGCAGTGGAGAAGGTGGTGTTGGGGGAACCCTAATCGCTTTGTTAACCTCTTGTAAAATTTTGTTCAGCAAATATTTGAAAGCCTGTTAGATACTGTGCCAGGTGTTGGGTGCAAGGATGTGGCCTCCAATGGAGTTTAGTGGGGAGATAGCTCTGCAAATAATAAGTACCCAATAATGTGTTAATTACTATTAATGGAGTATTGTGCAGAGTGCACTGGTAGTACAGCATTTAGACTCAAGGAGCTGAGATGTTTTCAGTGTTGTTAGTGATGAGATGTGGAGTGGTAGAGTGGAGGCAAGACTGATGGGCAGGACCACAGCAGGAGGGGCCTTGCTCTTGCACGGGGCTTCAGTGTTTAATTCATAGTCCTTCCTTGGGAACTAATGAAAAGTTTGGAAAAGGGAGTCAACATGGTCACATTGTTATATTGAAATGACAATTCTAGCTATAGTGTGGAGTCTGGATTGCAGAGGGGCAAGGCTGGAGCAAAGGAGGCCGGGAAGGCTGCTGTTGGAGAGGTCCCAGTGAGCTAAGGGGGCCTGAGCCAAGCAGAGGCCTGGCTGGTGGACGGAGGCAAGGCATGTAGGAAGCAGAATCAAGACGCTTTGGCCAAGGACTAGGGTGCAGGGATGAGGTGGGGGAGGACTCTACAGTGCCTTTCAAGTTCCTGGCTTAGGTGGCAGATTTTCTAGATCAAGGATGAAGGAGGAGGAAGTGGGTTTGGGTAGAAGATGGTGAATTCAGTTTGGCAGAAAATGCATTTAAGATTTGTTTGTTCCTTCTGTGCATATCTGATGAGACATTAGGAAGTGTGGATCTGGGGTTTAGGATTTGGAAATCATTAGAGAATAAGTGGGACCTAAAAGCCAAGAAGGAAATGCTTTTCTTCATTTGAATCCTGTGATAAAGTTGGAAATGTTTTTATATAATTGAGGGAGTCTTGGTATGCAGGGAGTAGGTATTAAGCACAGTTTATAGAAATAAAATTCTATGAAAATTGATTATAGTCTCAGTGACTGTAGGTTCTGAATTTTCCGGGAAACAATACCTTTCCTAATGTTCTGCTTGCTCTCCCTATGAAGTATTTGAATGATGCAGCAATTTAAAAAAAAGATTCGGCATCCATATTGCTTCTGTCAGATTGCTTCTCAAAGTGGCACAAAAATTCTCCATTCCGTATTGTTTTGTATAGTGATTTATTTATCTAGAGAGTTATAGAATTGATATCGTAAAGGAGAGTCATGAATTTCTTCCATCAACTATTTGTTGAATTCCAGCCATGTACTAACCAAGCACATGGGGGGATATAGTAATGAACAAACACTTGCGTTATAGTCCCAAGGGGGAGGCATCAGTAAATAATAAGCAAATAAATTCTTTCAGGTAGTTATAAGTATTGTGAGAAAACTAAATCCAGGGTAAGGAGGAGGAGAACCATAGATGGGATGATCGTGGAAGCATTTTCTGAGAAGCAGACATTTGTGCAGAAACCTGAGTAGAAGTGATGGAGTGAGCTGGTGGGCATCCAGGGGAGCAGTGTTGTGGGCAGAGGGAATCACAGTGCAAAGAACCTGAGGAATGGCAAGGGGGCAGGGAGCCTGGAGCGGTGGGTTAGGAGGCGAGAGGCTTTGCTGACTCTCTGATGACACTTGCTTTCACTCCAAGTTGACAAGCAGTTGTGGTCACTCTTCATGGCTCTCTAAGAGGGAGCCAGGAAGTCCTTTGGAGGTGAAAAGGACCTAGAAGATTGGGGGTCTTGTGACTTCCTTCCTGGGGTTGTTCAGTGGCACGTCTCGTGGGGAAGAGCAGTGGAATGTGAGCCAGACAGAGAGCCACAGCCCTACCAGCAGCAGTGAGGAGGAGCCGTGCTTTCCCCTGGCTAGGATCAGTTCCTCTGATGAAGAACAGATTTCATCTGCTTGTGAAACATAATTAATGATGATAAATGAGAGTTTGGAAGAGCATTTCTGGGTGAGGTGCTCGTGGAGATTTAAAAAAGGTAGTTGTCTTCCTCTCTCCCCCACCACCTCCTTCTGTCTAGCCTTCAGAAATGACTCCTTTCACCTCATGCAGCCCTCATGACTTTGAAACACCCCGTAGAGGAAGGAGTGCTAGATTGGGAAGCAACTGGTTTGCGATCTGTGTCCATTTTTGTCACAGATCACCTTGATTTTAGCAGCTCTTGCCACTTACGTGAAACTCCATTTCCTTCTTTGTAAAATGGGAGGATTGGACTAAGTGATCTTTAAAATTCTTTCCAATTGTATTATTTTCTGCTTCTTATTCATGCATGAGAACCAGTCAGTAGCATGAGAGCCATGTCAAGAAGGATTGGTGCTCAATTGCTGACATTTCTGATAAAGATAGTAAAGTAAATCTTTTCTTCAGGTATTGGTAAACACGACCAAATTAGTTCTGGAATCAGCTTCACCATCATTTAATCTTTTGATTAAACCATTTGAAAGATTTTTTTTTGCCTAGTTCCATTATGTCTGCTTGTAGCCTGGGGTGTGTAGTTTTTTGTTTTTTAAAAAATTCTGTAACATTTGGCTTGGGGACATCTGTGCAATTTATGTCATGATCATGATGACTGCCATACAGGCAAAGAGGAGTTGATTTGGGAGCCGCAGAAAGATACTTGGAGTTCTGTGTGTTGGTTGTAGCCTTTCTAAGCCATTGGAGAAGGAAGTAGTTGAAGTCAGAACTGACCTTGCTCTCCCCACCTCCCCTCCACCTGCACCAGCACACATCACACCTTTCTAGAGACTGTTCTTCAGAGTCCTGAAACCTGCTGAGCTGGACCTGTGGTCACATTGTGCCTGGGGCCAGATAATAAAGGGGCAGGCACTGAAAAGAAGCATAGGAAAGAATTGATGTTTCTTCTCGATTGAGTGGTGCAAGAAAAATTGTCAAACCTTTTCTGAAGCTGACACTAAGAACCTGAACTTGATCTTCAACCTAAAGGTGCTTATTCTCTATTAAAATAAATTGCAGAGGTTACCTGTGTTGTTACTTTTGTTGTGAGCTTTAATCATATATGTGAAGATAGTAAAAGGAAATCCTTTTAATAAAAAGCTTTCTGGACACAAAGCTAGTGAGAAGGAAAGTTACACATTTCATCAGGCTGTTGTTTCAAGTAAAGAAGAACTTTCATTTGCAGCCAGCTTCTTGCCTGACTGTGTTCCCTTCTCCCAAATGATGAGAGAAGATAGGGCCTTTAAGATACATTTTCCATTTTGTAGGAATTTTTAATTTCTGGAGAGCACAGAAGCATTTCATATGTACAGGAAGAGTACTGCCCAATGGAATGTTTGGTCTCAGCTGAGTTATTCCCAGCTGAGAGTAAAAATGAGGTCTTGGGGGAAAATAAAGACAGATGAGGTGGAGGAGAAAGACAGAAGTGGAAGGGGAAAAGTTATGGAACTCTATTAAAATATAGATTGATAATCCAAAGGTGTCTGATGAAAAGAAGTGCTTATGAAGGGTCAATTCTATTTTACTGTATAAAGAAAAATTGTTAGAGGAGAATATTTGTTTCTCTCCCAATGCATTACCTGAATTTAAGTTAGTGTTACAAATAGTCCAAACTTATAGAAAATGAAGGGAAAACACGTAGAGGATGTACTTTAAGTTTAGCGTTCAAGAGAACCGATTTAATAGAGAGCAGTTTAAATGTGTCATTACTTGCTGCTGGTTTTCTGTAATCTGCTTTGAGGGCAGTAGGATGTCTCTGAGTTTCCATTATTGCGTGCTACTCTTTAGGGACGCGCTTCCGTTGGTCTGCAATGGGAAGAATTATTTTTAAGGGACAGGGAAGTGCCCTGTTTTTTGAAACAGAATATCCTTTATATCTTTCTGTGCGGTCCCTGGTGTCCTCCTCTTCCTTAAGGCTTACGTGTTGTAGACTGAATAAATAAAAAACTTATTTTTATCAGGGAGTGAACTACATTTAAAGTTAGTTATCAAAGAAGATGGTCAAGTGTTTGTTAAATTGTTTCTTTTTTATAGATTATAGCAAATAACCCAACAGAATTTTAATAGCACCTTGATTACTTTGTTCTACCATTTCTGGAAACTAAAAAATAAATGTTTTGAATTTGTGAAATTGATTAAAAAGATATAAGTAGTGTTATGCTGTTGAGTGCACCTTTTTTCTGTCTTATTTAAGGAAACTTTCCAAGGATATAGTGGATATTGCAGGTGATAGAAAAAGTAACTTAATTTACTGTTTAGGTATTTGAAAATCATAATAACCATATTATAGTTTAATGATACATATGCATGTTTCTGCTCTGCCACATGTTTAATCTTGAATGTTTATGAAGCATGCAAAGCTTAGAACTGTAAAGTTGATTTAACACGTGAATGTTGGAAAAATATCACAAATTGGTTTATACATATCTTAATCACTAATATTTTAACCCTGGTAGAGTAACTAAGGCTCTGTTGGGAATGTGGACATGTATAAAAATTGTCATGTTGGTTGTCAAAGAGCATTGTTTCCTTGTTGTTTTTAAGTTCATGGTATTAGAATTTTGTCTTTAAAAATAAGATGAGAATATATTTTGAATGGTTGAAAAAGGTACATCAGTGTACTCTGTCATTTTTCTTAAGTGTTGATTTATGTAGCCTATTCATGTAGGACTACCACATACAGTTGACATTCTGTATCCATGGGATTCACATCCTCAGATGAGGAGGACTGACTGCACCACACCACTGAATCTAAAGGACTTGAATGTCCTTGGATTTTGGTATCCACGGGGTCCTGGAACCAACCCCCGACAGATACTGAGGGAAGACTGTACTTCACAGGTTTAACATTCTTTAGTCTTTTTTATACCTTAATTGGCCAGACACTACTCAGAACTTAATTTTCCCGGCAGTTAATTCAATCCCCTGTGACAACTCCCCTCGGGCTGATCATGTTGAAGACAACTTCAGAAGAGCTGGCTTGTCCGCGTGAGGACCTCAGCGTGGCTCGGAAGGAGGAGTTGCGGAAGTTGCTGCTGGATCAGGTGCAGACAGTACTCGGGCTATTGACAGGTGAGC